ATAACCAAATTTGTACTTGCAACCAGAGTTATCTCTGAGCATAGTTTTGATAGAAAACCATAAAATATTACACAATACTACTTTAAACTCCTCCCCACTTTATTCAGCAAACAGGTAACATTCCTCTGCAAAGTTAATTATAGCTATATCATCCAAGCCTAGACTCTCTTAACTTCTTTAACCCCTTTTACTTGTAAGAACCAGCAAATGGAATGAGGCTTTGGCCTGAGATCTAAAAAGGCATCGTCACTGGAGTGTTGCCTGAATACAGTAGTGTAATCCAAAGATTCTCTAACCATGCCTATATTTGCATTAGCTTAGTAAATATGTACCTCTCGTTGCCAGTTGGGCAGTATATAAATAATACTACACATTTATTAAATGTATATATAATTTATTATTATTAATAATAATAAAAGTAAGCAGTGGAATGGTTTGTTTCTGAAAGTTGTGAATGCTTCACCACTGGAGGTTTTAAAAAGAAATTGAACAGCTATTTGTCAGGAATGATATAGGGTCTCCTGCTTGAGTAGGGTTGGACTAGAAGGCCTCCTAGCTCCCTTCCAACTCTGTTATTCTGTTAATATGGTAATAAAATAAATATACCCCTCTGTGTTTGTAAATACTGGTACAGTACTAATGCCACCACTATCCAGAATTAAGAAGGAGCCAATTTTCCCTCTGTTAGTCAAGTTGCCAGTTGGCTTTCTTCTGGTTGGTAAAGCCTCCCCTTAGATCACTAATCTCTGTGAAATCGCCTACAAAGGGTAGACAAGGTGCTGCTATACCTTCTTGTTTGTCATTCACAACATTTCCCAAATGATGTCCTTCTCCGCTTTAGAGAAGTTTTACTGTCCCAGGAACAAAACAAAGCTTAAGCAGTATAATACTGCCATGTCCATTTTAGATTAACCAGTTCTACCAGTTACTGAAACCAGCAATTCATCTTTAACAGCCAGAGCTGCCATGAGTCTCTCAGGTGTCAGCCAATATATCTCCCTTACATTCTCTTCCCCTTCTTTTTCCCAAAGTTCCCGTGATTTAAGATTTTACCAGCCTAATACCGTTTTTGTTTTTGCATGTCTACAGAGATATGCAAAAAAGACAACAACTGCAGGACTGTCACAGCATTTACCTTCAGCTTATATTCATTCATTACTTGCTACTTCTTGTTTTACCCTACACATTCTTACGGAACACATTGCCATTGTATTCAACTTTGTTTCTTTTGACATATCTAACTTTTAGACCAATGTAACAAAATACTTGTACTCATATAAATAACCTTTCTAGCTTCTTTTGACATTCATTTCACTCAACAAATGCATAGATGCAGTACTTTTTACCCATAGCTGAGTGTTTTAAAATTAAGGTGGCTTTAAATTGGCCACTTTTACCAGGATATACAACATATTTAGTAGGGCACTAACTATATATTTCACTTTGTATATTTTTCAGTGGAAATTACCTGACTTTGTTTTTTTTTTTTTTTCAATTTGCTACCGTAGTAACTTCAAGAATCTCATCTATTGGTATCAATATTTGCCACAATTCCTCAGTATCTCAGTCTCCCTTTTTAAAAAATAAAGCATGCATTCATTCATTGAAAGACACCTCAGTCATTCAAACAAATCTAAGCAACCAATTCAGGCCCAACAACTATAGTAAAAAATAGCTGTCAAGATTTCATTAGTTTGTTTGCAGTCTTAACATTTCTTCATACAATAATCCAAATAAATTACTTGCTAACTTTCTATTGACTTACTGTTATTTATGATTATCTTTAGTAGACTTTACCTTCTTCTTTATCTTCTTAAATAACACTTTCCAAAAAGGCCTTAAAAACATTATTTCCCCAAACATTGGGGTCAAGATGAGTAGTTCCCATCAGGAGAGAATATGAATTTGAGCCAGGTCACATGGTGTTACTATTGATTCTTGATGACTATTTTAATTTGGTTATTTCTTGTGAGCTGTCCAAAGTCTCATTGTTCAAGTTGGGCAGATACACACAGATAACTTAGATTAATGGGGTCTAGGAAAATAACTTCCTTTGCTGTTACTTCCACCTTATGAAATGTCATCCCCCTGGAGATGAGATTGGCCCAGTTTTCTTGGTCTTCCTTGTGTGTGGACATCCAGGAACACCATGCGGCCTTGAGCGTGGTTGATGCCTTGAGAGTGCTTCCTCCACCTTTTAACTTATCTTTTAACTTTTGTTTTTTTATTGTTCTTTATCCTGTTTTATGTGTATTTTAATTGTACCTTTTTATATTATTTTATTATATTTACCTAGAATTTGTCCAGAGCCACCTAGGCAGCAAGGCTGGGCGGTACCTAAATTTGATAAATGTGATCAATACTGACCCACAGAGTTATTAAAGTAGCATTTAGTATTTTCATATTTTCATAATTTTAGTATCATTTTAATATATTTTTCATATTTTCATGTTTGAGGGTTGATGAACAAGCTCAAAGTTCATAAAGGTGTTGATGAGCTGAAGAGTTTGGGGACCCCTCCTCTAAGCAATGAATCTTAAGTTTGAATCCAAAGAGTTCTAATTTTTCAATAAACAATGGCTTAAGATATTGTGTAAAACACCCTTAATATACTCTTCAATTCAATTCAATTACCTTTAAGGAAAATTGCCTTTGTCAATGCATTCTGCAAATGATTTGTTTTCCTCTAGGAATAGATTACATATTGAATTCTTTAGGATATGGGTTGCCAACCCGCTGGCCAGGCTGCGGCCCATTAGGAACCAGGCCCCATGAATGGAGGGTGAATGCGTGCGCATGCGTTCAGCTCCATTTGTGAGAGTTGCAGGCACTTGCGCTCATGCACAAAACTCCACTTGTCTGAGTGGCGGCCACTCACACAGAACCATACTCTCCCCCGCTCCATGGCCCATTCAGAACTGGTCATGGCTTGTTTGGAATTGGATCACACAAGCAGTGTGCGAGTACACATTCATCTCCACCTGTCCAAGTGGCAGGCACTTGCATATGAAGTTCCACTTGTGCAACACTGGACACTTGTATGCTAAGCTCCATTTGTGCAAGTGCAAAGAATTGCACGTGCTTGCTTCTCTCTCTCTCTTCCCCCGCCTTCCTCCACCATCGAGCCACCAAGCCAGAAAGGTTGGGGTCAGCTGCTCTAGGACAAAAGTTCTCATTGTCAACTGCATCTCAGTAACTACAGGTAATGTGTAGTTAGGAAATATCTTAAAACTTCCTTGGGTTTTTTAGAGCAGATAGGATAACTGCATATAACAATGAAAAGAAACAGGATTGCAATATATATGTGGACAAATACAGCCAGGCCATGTATAAGCAAAAAGTGACTTATTTTGAGCATCTGCCTCAAAGGCTCAAGTTTGAGTTTTATACGTTGAGGAAAGTGTTGATGTTATATGTGGGTTTTTGTTGTGTAAAAATGCAATTTAAAATATTCCATTTGTCAAGATCAGATGATGATAATTGGAGGCAAAGCTACTTGAAAAAGTTTGCAAATTACACTTTTCTAACTAGTTTTGCAATCAATTCCATCAATATAAATATGTATGGATTCAGATTGTATTTAACAAATATGTAAATAAGTTGCTTTTATACATGAACTAAAGTCACAGGGTGCTCGATGTATTTGTATATTGTACCAAAGGAGAACTCACAAAGTACCGTGTCCCACGTCTCATGGAAACATACCAGAATTATGGGATCACTGTGCATCACCATCCTATTCCTGATGGAGGTACACCAGATATTGCCAGATGTTGTGTTATTCTAATGAACTGAGGAACTGCCTTGATAGTAAACAAAAAGCCACAATACAGTTGAGTTCTGGTATTCTAGTCATTTATCCTCTTTAAGTAAATTAAAGTGATTCAATCACTAAATGTTCATCTGCCACCTCTGTGCCAAAATTTGACTTCTATTTGCTGCAATCAGCTTTTGCTGTATCATTCCAAAATACAAGTTAGAGATGCGTAATTTTTTCTGCTTACTACTGCTTTCTACTACTACTTTACTACTATATGCCAGAATTCAACTTTTTAATCAATCATTTAACAATCAAAGGATCAATCTGTGTAAATTTTATCAATTAGCTTTGATAGCAATAATAATAGATTCATGTAAATCCTGAGCCTTAAAGCATCATAGTCCATTGGTTCCAATCTGCAATTTATTAATAGGATTTGGGGAAACACATTTGTTTTAAACTGCAGAAAACTGGGAGTACATTTTAGAGATTTTATAGAGAAACACAAAGATTTTAAATAGCTTTATGCTCCAAAACTGAACTCAAAATTGATGTTTTGAGGTATTACACAATATTATAACCATAATCAGAGTAAACTTCTTTCCATTATTGTAGATGCTGTGAATAAAATAAAGACATACAGGTCAATAACCAGTTCAAAGCCTTACGTTCTAGCCAACAATTTAACATTGACATAACAGCTTGTACACTAATAGAGAACATGTTACTATAGAAACAAATAGAATATAAAGTTGAGATGCCAAGAAAAAAATAAATCTCAAAATAATGACTGCATAGATTTGTTGTAGGCAGCCATCCAAATCTTGATCAAAAGGGAATAATAAAGTCTGTTTTAATTAAAGCATTCTTGATGGAACAAGACTTGATACCATCTTCTGGGAAGATGTCAGATGCAATCCAATTATTAATCTTCACTGTGATCCAAAATGAAATCAATAAAAGGGAACACACAGGATGTTTTACAAGATGCCCTTATGAAATTGTTGTCCTCCACTTTTTTCTGATAGAAACCCTAAACATGCAGTTATAGAAATTGCACCTGATCACAAAAGGATGTGGTTTGGTTTATAGTCTATACTATATACTGTTTGCAGAATTAAACAAGCAAAACAAATAAAAGACAGAAATGTGCTAGTAGGACACCTCCTGAAGCTAACTGAGTTAAATATTTAAGGTGTAATCATGCAAACGGTTAACCAAAGAAAAGTTGTTTTTAACAAATGAAGTCAAAATCATCCCGTTCCTGATTGTAGTTGAGTACATGTTGTCGGATGCGAGAGGAGTCAGTCCAGGTAATAAAGTCCTCCATGGCCCTGGTTACCAAGAATGCAGGGTCTGTTACAACTTCTGGTCCCACGCGGATATGTCCCTGCTCCACGAAGGTCACAGCAGATTTCAGGTTTTGCGCCATATGGAGCTTTATGAGCAGACAAGGCAAACGGCGACGGCAAAAGGAAGAGGCTGAGACTCGATCACACTGTTCAAGAGAGCTCTTAGAGGGTACCACACCCATGGCATAAAGTTTGTCCAGAAGAGCAGCAGTACTCCTAGCCCGGAAACCTGCTGATTCTGGTACATCACCCAGGTCTCTGATCCGGCGTGCTAGTTCCCGAACAGCCCGACTAAGCTGATTGTAGCGAGTGTAATCTTCCCTCCGTTGAATACGGAAACGACGAAGCACACGGAGCTCAGCTAGATTGCCTGATGCAGCTTCCCAGTTCACCAGGTCTAGCTTCTTGAGAAGCTTCTCCTCATGAAATTTCAGTTTGCGCACCATGTTCTTCTCTTCGACTGCCTCAAGGGGAGAAACACATTTAGCTTATTTTTACACACTATGACATGCCTCTAAAAGACCAAACTTAGACCAAACTTTTCTAAGTTCAGGAATACAAACACATTTTTAAAAATAAACAGAAAATAGCTGCTGCTCATAATTACAGTAATAAATTACTGTAATAAACCTGATACAAGAAGATATCAGGTTTCTACCAATGCAGCTGACAAGTTTGTAACGATGCACCAGAACCTTGTGAAAAAGCTCCATTTTTTACCTACAGTTCACAATTTAAGAGATTTTTATATTGGTAAAGTTAAGTTAAAGCGGAGGAAGAAAATACATGCACCAAGTCTTACTTGAGATTTTGAAGCACAGTTTTAGACATTAGAATTAGAATTCTTTATTGGCCAAGTGTGGTTAGACACCGGAAATTGTTTTTGGTGCATAAGCTCTCAATGTACATATAACAATAGTGATAAGCAGTGGTGGGTTGCAGGCGGTATGCCCCGGTACAGGCGTACGGGAGCCTGCCCAGAGCACTGGATACTGTTCCGGTATGGTGCTCCGGAGGGCCCACTCGCCCGCCCAAGCTCCTTACCATTTTTTTAAGTTTTCGGCACTTATGTGCATGGCACATACAGCGCCTGTGCAACGCTCCGCTGAGCAGCTGGGGCGTTGCGGAGGCTCGTAGAAGCAGTAAGACACATGCGCGCACTGCGCACATCCATGTGGACACCTGGCCCGTTCCAACTGTACCGGTTGGAACGGGATCCGTAACCCACCACTGGTGATAAGCAACAAAGTTATAGTCATAAGAAGATGAGGGGCTAGGTAATAGGGAAGATGAGAGTAATGATGGTAATACTGCCTTTTTAGAGAGTTTGATAGTGTTGTGGGAATTACTTGTTTAGCAGAATGATAAACCAAACTCATTTACATATGTTGTGCACTGACAAATAAAGATGATGTTGATAGCATGGGGGGGGGGGAACTGTCCTTGCAATACTTAACACACTTTTAACACGCAATACTTAATACACTTCTTTGGGAATGGGCTGCCTTAACTTCAGAGTTAATACAAACAGAGTGAATTGCACCCCCCTCCTTCCCCTCCCCAGCTTTGGATATCCAAAAAGTGGTATCTGCTCATCAAAGTCTACTTACCCACTCGCTACGCCTTCAATAAAAAAAAACAAAATAAAATAAAAAACCTTGCCGCGTAAAAATCCCGAACTCGCAGTACAGCGCGGAGCCGGAAAGTTAACACGAGTTTCCCACGCGGGAGAAGTAAGCAGCAACGGCTTCCTGTTCCGGTCCCGGCACGCCAGACAAGCCCCGGGGGTTTCCGAGCATAAATTTATGAAACAGGAAGAGGGGATTCACACCGATCACTTCCGGGTTGGCTTGCGAGTTCCTTAGCATGCAACAGCAGCCAAGTGGAAAGTGGGGCAAGAAAGGCTTAAAGAATTTTTGCTGCAGTCTATTGAAATCATTATTAAAATCTGTTTTGAGGAAGCAATTCGGTAGGGTAATTATTTTGTGAAGTTTACGAAATGCCATCACTCTGCTAAACAATCCCCACAACACTGTCAAACTATTTACCAGGACTGTATTACTATTATTATTCTCATCCTTCCTAATACCTATATCTTTCCACTTATGACTATATCCATGTTGCTTGTATCTTTAAAATTTATATTGCTTCATTTGTTTCCTAGTATAACTTGATTGCTTATTAATAACCTATGACTCACTGTTGTATCTTATGATTCTTGATGAATGTATTCTATTCTATTTTTCTTTATGTACACTGGGAATATTTGCACCAAAGACAAATTCCTTGTGTGTCCAATCTCACTTGGCCAATAAAGAATTCTATTCTATTCTATTCAGTAGCTTCGAGGGGCAAGCAATAAATAAGCACGATCAAAACAGCAAGAAAAAAACCTGTCATTCCTATGACGACCCAAAGGTGCTTTTTTCAAGAGGCAACTGGACTTTCTATTTTTTTAAAAAAAAACCTGAAAGTCCAGCTGGTCTCTTGAAAAAAGCACCTTTGGGACAACCATGACCTGGATGACTGAGAATCTCCATAGACATTCTTATGACAAGGAATCCTAAAGCCCCTTATCCGATTACCTAATAGTAATTGAGCAGAATTGGAACCAAGGGGCTGAACAGTGTTTTTCCAGCAATCAGAACGATCCCAAATGCTAATTCTCAAGGGCAGAGTTCTTCCCTGCTTAAGAGAAATGGGGAAAAAATCCTCAACCCTTTCAGAGGGCTGAAATAGTACTCCGCAGTTAAGGAAGGGAAAAATTGATGGGCTGCAACTTTTCCACAATGGTTATCACTCCCTCCGCTGTGCCTTGTGTGGTTTAGGAATGTTACTGTCCCATCTGAACACAAGTATCGTAACACTTCCCGCCTTCACTTCCTTTACGCCCAACTGCTCCCAAGGAAAAACAGAAATAACATAACCGGAGAAGCAGCAACCGTCGAGATATGAAATCTTCGAACCAATCCGGACTTTGAGGGGGCTGGACTTTTTAAATTAGGGCACCAATAAAAGCCTCGCATCCTCTTCCAATCACATCTCTCCGAGGGGGGGGGGATGAGGCGGAATGACGTCGGAGAATAAGAATGTAGCCAATGAAAACGCAGTAGTGTTGTGTCTCAACGGCCAATCGGAAACGGTAACAAAAATTTGAACCGGAGTACGGCCCCTCTTGTTCGGTCGATCAGCCATTCGAGCTCGCGCGTGGATCTACCGGAGGGCGGAGGTTGCGTGTGGCTGGAGGTATAACGATGTCCCTCAGGGACGATTCAGAAATGGATGTGGGTTGGAGTTAGGTGGTTGCGGGGCACTGGTGGGACGTGGGGATGGGCTTTGGAGTCGGGACGGAGGAAGACCAAGTCTTCTGGATCTACCTGTATCTATTTAGCAGTGTTCCAATATCTCAGGGGCTGCCACAAAGAAGAGGGAGTCAAGCTATTCTCCAAAGCACCCGGGGGTAGGACAAGAAGCAATGGGTGGAAATTAATCAAGGAGAGAAGCAACCTAGAACTAAGGAGAAATTTCCTGACAAAACAAATAATCAGTGGAACAACTTGCCTTCAGAAGTTGTGAATGCTCCAACACTGGAAGTTGTTAAGAAGGTGTTGGATAACCATTTGTTTGAAGTGATGTAGGGTGTAGGAGGTTGAACTAGAAGACCTCCAAGGTCTCTTCCAACTCTGTTATTCTATATTATTTCGAAGCAGACGTTTGGTCTGGTAGTCTAAAGGCGATAGGGAAACTCCAGGATTGAAGACAGTTTGTCACTGAACATAAATTGCTGTAGATCACTTTTGGTGGGGTCTATTATTGTTCTGCTCTGAGAGGCAAGATGCTCGGCTAGATAAGCTATAGTTCCAGTGCAGCAATTGCACTCTTCTGATGTTTGGGTCATGCCTTTTTCATTTTACTTTGCAAAAGGACAAAATATTAAAAATCAGAATACTTAAATTCAGTTCTATTACTGTAAATTGCTAGATCTTGAGTGTTTATTTTTTTTAAATGTAACAATAGGCACAATATTTGAAAATACTAAGTCTTTTTTAATGCAGAAAGACTTGAATAAAATGCTCACCTCAGTTCCAGGGAGGCTCTGGAAGATGCTTTAGGGCAGCCATCCCTAGTCAGACTTAATAGTGATAGAAGAGAATATTTTTAATTCAGGGTTGAACTTTGGGGTTCTCTGAGTTTGGTGCTCTTGCAGATGTTTTATGATCAAACTTAGGTAACATCATCAGTGCATTGATAATGATACAATTGGTCAGAGATGTATATTTAGTTGATGTGTTTTGGGGCCATCCATAAAAACATGGGGGATGGGTCCACTGCTTTTCATCTCCCACTGTACTTTAGTGATTTGACCTTTCTTGGTAATATCACTAAAAGTTTGTTCAATCCAATTGTCTAGTTTCTGTATTAGATTGATGTTCACTGGGATGTAAGTTTGTCTTTCCATAATTCTTTGGCTTTTTGTATGTATTGTGTTCTAACCATGGTTTGGCTGCTGGTAGCATGATAATCAAATGGTTCTTCTTTAGGTTTTTGAGGGCTGCTCCTCCCACTGCTTTGAATAGGGTCTGTTTCCCTTTCCTTCTGATCTGTAATATGATAGCTTGTCTGATGCTGACTTGAGTCTCTGTGAGAAGTCCTGGGTTTTAAAAGCTTCTAGGGCCTTAAACACTTCAAGTTGATTAGCATCATCTGTGTGGAAATTGAGTCCTTTCTGTAGAATATTGTATTCTGCAGTAGATAGTGGACAGCTGAACACGTTGACCACTCATTCAGACTCCTGTGCCTCTTTAATTCTGAGATTTACTTTGGGTAGTTTGATTTGCAGTTTAAATTTCCCATTTCTGGCATGGCTCTCAAAGTAGTCTTGATTGTGGTTGTCAGTCTTTCAATGTGCTCTGGGGTGATAATCTCTTCTAAATGTTCCTTGAAGTTTTCCATGGTGTGCTGATATTTATTAAGACTGAGGTGCACTTCTATGATCATAAACAGTTATCATTCGTTGTCCATTTTTTGGACTATTTTCCATCCTGCTGCGCAATTTATTGGAAGTTTGTATCTGAGACTGGTGGGTTAGGCTTGCTGTCATAGGCATTCATGCAGAAAAAATAGTTTTCTGGTGGAAGTGTGCCTACATACAAATTTCTCCCATTTGCTTGCTTTCTGAAGTGTTTGATGCCCTATGTGGAACTGATAGAAGAGAATATTTGTAGCTCGTGGTTGAACTATGGGGTCCATGGTGCTCTCTGAGATTGGTGGTTTTCCCAATAATATTACATAGTTTGGTAATAAAACATCTGCAGTAAAATTATGAAGCTCAGAGAGCACCAAAGACTCCAAAGACATATATAAAGACTACCTGTATAAAGCATTCATGTATGATATAAATGCATTTAGAGTAATGTGTACTTTTCTGGTTGCCCTATTCCAGAAAGATTGTTAGAGGTACATAGAAAATAGCAACTAAAATTATCAAAGATGTAGTAACTATTCTGTGAAAAAAACAGCGTGGATAAAAATTGATGATTTTTTAAAAACTTTTTTTAAAAAAAAAAAGTTATATTTTAATTTAAATTGGATTTCTCTGATTTTTATCAAATTCATTTTAATAAAGTGCTTTTGAGTAAAAATCTATCTAAAGATAGTTTTCTATTTAAGATCCATAAATAATTTAGTTTATTCAGCATGAAATGGAGCTTAGTTATGTATGTATTATGGGCCTGTATATTTTGCAATATTTACATTATTTGTAAACTTGTTCAATTAATCCAAGCTGTGCAAGGTGAGATAATATGCACTGCACTGATGCATTCACACAATTTCACAGTAACCATGAGATAAATCATAGGGATCAGGGATATTTATTTATCCCATTGTTTTGCAAATTTATGTACACTACAAACTGTATGATTGTTTGAAGAGAAATGCAACTACCCCCAGGTTCTAAGTGTGAGGAGGAAGGGCAAGTAAAAATAAAAGTGAAAACTTCTAAGCAGCTTATAAATAAGATATTAAAGGGCACCTGTCATTTCACATCCATCATGGCAGTGCCTGTTAGTGGGCATCCACTCACCTTCTGCTTGCCACGTCCCTCACCTTGTTGTGTCACTGCCACATCACCAGCTGTCCCATTAAAGCGAATGGGACGGTCGGTGGGTCAACAGCGGGTCAAAGGAGGAGGCACTACGGGACAGAGATGACAGTTGCTCTTTAAAAATTATGATTTAAATCGAGTTGATTTAAATCAAGCCTTTTAAATCAAATCCACCCTGGAAAAAAAGTTACATTGCTTGGGGTATAACAGTGGTACATTCTGCTTTTTTTTAACCTGCATAGATTTACCAACATATATAGAAACAAGTTGCTTGTTAGTAAAATTTTCAGATGGCTCAGCAAAGATCTGTAATGTAAAATGCTTCTTGCCTTTATTTTATATCTAGATAAAGATGACTACTAATTTTTCCACTCGGTACAAAAAAGATCTGAGCGTCGATGCACTCAAGACAAAAATTGTTCATCGAAAGTCTATAATTCAAAAAGAGAATAGGCACAAGGAATTCAATAAGGGCAGGCAATTTGGACTACTTGATGTGAATATACAGCCATCAAGAAACAAAGCTACTACTCGGCTGAGTAGAAAAAGCAACGTGTGTTTGCCAAAGCCAAGTAAGTAAAAAGCTTTTTAAATATTAACCAAGACTTGTTTTCAATCTCTATTTTTGTTGTCTTTCCTAAACTTACTAGTTATTCAACTAGTCTCCAGGTTAAGAACAAGTTTCCTTTCTAAGTCTATCCTCGGGCTGAATTTGTACCTCAACTGTTACTTTATGAAATGTTTGTCTTATTATGAACTGCTGAAAACAGGTGAGAGTGCACAGACCCCGAGTGGGGTGGGGATTGCAGGTGTCTGCAAATGGGGAGACATGCAAGAGGGGTCTATGACAACTTGCTGTGAGGAACTCGCAATGGTCTACTTGCCATTGACAACTTGCTATGGCCAATTCACCACAGGGCAAGAGTTACACTAATATCCAGGAAATCGTGGAATACAATCATTAAAGAATGGATGCCAAATGAGGGACAAAATGAAATGTGAATGACAAAAATTAAAATTATTTTTTTAAATAATTTTAAATAATTAAATTGAATTGGTAAATTGTCCCGCAGTGAGTTGCCCTGTGGCAAATTGGCCATGGCAAGCTCTCCTGTGGCAAATTGGTTGTGGCAAGTTGTCCCATTCTCCTTCAAAATACTTCATTGGAGAAATATGTAGTGTTCAGCCAGAGTCTCCCTAACCTGCAGCATCGAGACTCTCCTTGCCAGTCATGCACAATAACAAGAGATGCTGCCAGGGTCTCCTCACCTGCAGTACCTACAACTGTGTGCCGGAAAGAGATGCCGTATGTGTGTGTAAGAAAGAGACCCTGCCTGGCTTCCCCACCTGTAGTACTGGGACTGTCCTTGCCAGCATGCACCCTTTCTATTTTTGAGTCAAATCTCACAGCCAGTCAACTGTCCACTATTTTAAGTACTGCAGGCTGCCCATTCATATTTGAGGGTATTCGTAAGCCAGAGGTTCATAGCCTGGGAACTTTCTGTACTTCTAAAACCTCTTTTGGTTTCAGCCTACATCTGAGCTTCATCACTGGAGGCTTTCAAGAAGAGACTGGACTGCCATTTGTCAGAAATGGTATAGGGCAGCGATGGTGAACCTTTTTTGGCTTGCGTGCCATAAGGGGGGGGGAGCGTAGGGGGAAAAAAACAACCCTACGACCAAACTGGAGTCACTTCCAGTTTGTTTGTAGGGTCGTTTTTAGCCCTCCAGAGCCTGGGAACCTTCAGGAGGCTTCCTGAAGGCTCCGGAGGGCTTAAACCGGCCCTATGAGCAAACCGGAAGTCTGTTCCCAAACTTCCAGTTTGCCCATAGGGCCGTTTTTTTGCGCTCCGGAGAATTCAGGGAAGCTCCTGAAGCCTCCGGGGATGCCAGGGGAGGCTATTTTTGTCTTCCCCAGACTCCTATAAAGCCTCTGGAGCCTGGGGAGGGCGAAAAATGGCTTTTAAAAAGGCTGAACTCAGCTTGCCAGGGTGCACATGTGCGCTGGCGAGCTGACAGGGCAAGCCTCGCTTGCCCTGACAAATGGCTCCCCGTGTCACCTGTGGCATGCGTGCCACAGGCTTGCCATCCCGGGTGTAGGGTCTCTTGCTTGGGTGACGGGTTGGACTAGATGACCTACAAGGTCCCTTTCATCTCTGGTAATCTGTAATCTATTAGTTTCTGTGATGTTTGAAAATCAACAGTTAACTGTTGTAAATTTGGAAAGGATTTATGTGTCATTCAGTGCAAAATTTACAAAGTTGTAGCATCTTTTAACATTTTGTTGTTTAAATATTAATCACAAACTAAGCCATCTGCTCTTGAAACAATTCTTACATTATGTATCTAATGATTTTTTACTATTATTTTCCCCCGGACAATTGTGATCTGCTATGTTTAATTTTAATTTTTTATTCTTCTATGCTATTTATCCAAGCTCTTTAATTGTTTCTCACCAAACTCACTTTGTTTGAATTCTTCTGGAGAAACTTCTTCATGTAGGTGTCATTGTTAAAACATGATGCCCAGAACATGATTTGGAATTTGACCTGAGCAACATAGACAGGGATTATTATTCTGGATATCATGCTATTATTAAAGTAGCCTGAAATTTTCTTGTCTTTTAGATACTGTTTGCTATTCAATTTGCAATCACCTACATTGGCTAGATATTTTTCACATATATCGTTGCTGATATAGATTTTTCTGTGAACTTTGTTTTCGTGTATCTAATTATGGGACATTGTTTTTATCTCTTTTTTATTTGCGTCTACTGTTCTAGGTACTCAAGATATGTTTTAATCTTGATATCACACTTTATGTGGGATTTCAACTCGCATATGTTAAATTTTAGATGCTGCAGCCAAGACTCGTGAACAAGAGCGCATCGACATGCTTCACCGCTACAAGGCGGAAAAAGAACTTCGCAGGTTGAAGGAGCAGAGGGAGAAACCTGTTTTTAAATGTGGACAATTCAAGCCAGACCAGCCTCCTTTTCTCTCAAAAACATCACAGATTCCAGTATTGAAAACATCAAAAGAGAAAGTGAGAATAACTTAATATTAACTCCAATGTATCTTGCATTCCTTTACCCAGCCCAAGTTGCCTGAAACAGCTAATTCATATGTTGGTTTAATAAAGCATGAGTTGAACTTCATAAGTTCTCTGAACGTCTTAAATACTTCAGGCTTTTCCATTTCTTGTTTGTTTATCCATATTTAGAACTGGAAACTAGATTAGAAGTATATTTCTGGTTTTAAAGGTAGTCCTTGCTTAATGACTACTTTGTTCAGTGAATGTTCAAAATCATGACAGCACTGTGCAAAGGGACTTACGACCTATGCCTGAATATATGGTTGTTGCAGGGCTTGCATGCCCATATAATGGCAATCTGGAAACTTGGCCATTTGCATTTACAATAGGTTGACAAGCACATCGCGATTAAGTGATCACCATTCACAATCTTCCCTGCTGGCTTCTCCAGAAAGTCAATTGGAAAGCCAACAGAGAAAGTTGCAAGATTCTGCTACCTGCCAGGAAGTCTTCCTCTGGTTTCTAGGGGCTGGGTAAAAAGGATCTGTCCTGAAATCATAGCAGGATGTTAGCATTGAGTATATGCAGCACAGAATGTTTACAGCTAGCCCCCGGGAACCAGAGTGAGTCTTCTTATGTCTGGGGGCTGGATGTAAACTCCCCATGCTGCAAATACTCCATTGATTTAGGATGGGCTTTTTTCAGTCTGTGGAATCATGCACTGGGTTGGAAGAATCAAAGAGGTCTTTGTGACCCCCATTTCATTTCTCCAGCCCAGCACATGAGTTCCCCTCAATGCATGGTGGTGGCCTGCCTGTCCTCCTTCAGCAGAGAGCTCTTTTACCCCACTTAACCACCCACAGGGTCACTTAAAGCCTGCAACGTGGAGAACTGGGATTGCAGTCTTTGAGTAAGCAATCACATGGGCATCTTGCTTAATGACTGCTTCGCTCAACAGCTGAGATTCCAGTCTCAATTGTAATACGTCCAGGGCTACCTGTAGTTTAATGGATAATAATATCTTCTATGGATCAGAAAGGGAAAGAGATTTGTGTATAAAGTAGGAAGGAAAGGTTACATGGATATAAGATCTATTTACAATAGCCAAATCATGATCTTGTTATGTGGGATACCCTAATGCTCATCAGAATATTCCCAGGAAAGCAAATGGATTCCTTATCAGATTGCCTTATTTAAAATCAAGAGGAACTATGAATATCCAATTTTCAAGTGAAGAAATGATAAGATAAACAGATAGTTAACTCATAAAGAAGCTCCCCCCCCCAATCACTTCCAAATAGGTAGAATGTGTTTCATCAAAGCAAATAGAGACTTGATATTCTCTGGTTACATGATTGGGCTAGGAAAAAGCAGTTTCCCTATGATTAACCAATTTGGTCTTTATAGTTGAAGGGAACCTAAAAGGGAAAAGTCTACAAGTTCTGTGTTAAATGCCTTATCTGGTTTAAATAATCCAAGTTTCATTGAGTTGATGCACAAATCCTTTATTCTGTACAGTATTTCACAGCTGTTGATATAATTTGGTAAAATGATTCTTACAGCTCATCCTATTTAATTTTAAATTGCATGGTATTTTGTAGCATTAGATTATACTTTATGTTCTGTACTTTAGATTTAAACTATTGGGGAGGACGAATATAATTGACCATGAATTTGATTCCATGATATTGAGCGAGTACTGCATACATATGCAAATTGTAGGAATTTTTATAAGAAAAATGCCAAGATGCATATGTTGGCTACTCAAAATATTTGGAAGAAAGGATAAAATAAAACTAATCATCAATACATGAAAGAGGGCATTATTTATTACATAAAAGTGTGGAAAATTCTGTTGGAACGAGGTAATTGAGCAGTTTATGTGGACATAAAGGTTTTTCCGTTTCCTTTATATTTAAATATTTTATTTGAACATTTTTATAAATTGTTTTTGGAGAACTTCCAAAAGGCATATATTAAAATATCAATAGGCAGTCAAGAAACAGTAATTAAGAAAATAACCAGGAGCAAAATAAGACATTAAAAAAGTCACCTGAGAATTCCTAAATGCTTCTAGGTTATTCCAAAAATATTTCTTACTAAAAAGTACACATATAATATGAAGATTGGAATTCGCTCATTCTTATTTCTGGATTGTTCCTAGGAAGCTCCAGTTGTCATGCGAGTTACAAGGTCGAAAGCAAAACAATTGCCAGAACCAAAGAAGCCACAGTTATCATCGGTTTGTATTACATGTTTGTTTTTTATTGTATACTATTTGCATCCTACAGGTGATCTTTCAGTTATGACAGTTCATTTATTGACCACTCGATGTTACGACATAACACTCCCCCTTAAGTATTTATGACACAGTCCTGAAGTTACGAATGTTGCACAATCACTGTAGTCATTCACCCTTACAAAGGACTGCAGAAGCATTGCAATATTCGCCCTGCTTATTTCTCCCCCCCACCCTGGACTGGGTCTCTACAGGCACCGGGCCTGTGGAGGCCTGTGGAGACTCAACTTGCAAAGATCTAGCAAGCTGTCTCCTCTCCAGCTTCTCTGCCCCGGTTTCTTTGCCTGCTCTCAGCGCTCCAAAAGCAGAGCAGGGAGAGTGGGATGAACATGCCCTGCCAGCTTGCGATTTCCCTTTAGGCTCCAGTCATCTTTGCAAAAAGCCCCTGCTGCCAAAAACGGAGCCCAAGAGGGACACATTTTGAAATGCTCGCTCTTGTTACCGAAGCATTTTTTTTAATGCTTGCTGTTTGACCATAGAGGTTTAAGGCATGCACCAGGTGACTAAACAGAGAGGTTTAAAAGACTGGATCAAAAATAGGTCACTGATGAAGTAAATGGGTAGTTAACATCTGCTTATTGGTTGGAATTAAATGAATAACACAGTGTGATTCCTATCTTATTTAAAAAAGAGATGTGTTTTTAGATTTACATTTCTTTTTTTTTAGGTTTCATCTAGCTCCATCGGTAAGGGCCGCAATCGGCAGATAGCTCCGCATGAACAGAGGCAGATCTACATAGACAAACCTTCTAAAGAGAATAAAGGTATGAGTTATTTGTCCTTATTTAAAAAGAGCTCCGGTGGCTCTTGTGAACTTTGGTGACGAAATAGCCAGAGGTTGGTAAGGCAGTTTCACACCACTGTGGAGCAGGAAATACATGATAACTATTGTGTAAATTCTGCAGTAGCTTTAGTACCAAAACAACTAGAAAATCCCAGCCCTGACCAATTGCATAATATGGTCCAATCAACTTTGTTTCATTTTTGTCCTATAAAAAAAGAAAAGAAAATATACCTATCTTTGCCTTATACACAGAACATCTAAGATTTTAGAGATTGAACAGCTTTCTCAATTTTCAGATAAGCAGTCTGCCATGTCAAGAATCACACATGGAAGAATGACAAGAGCAACAGTGGCAGCGAAGTCAAGAATACCACAACCAACCCAACCAACTATAATTTCTGGTGGGTGAAATTGTACTAAAGTAATTTACATGGACAATTAAAGGTAAACATTTCCTTGGTGCAGGTTCCAATTCTAGTGACATGAGCACAGCCATGCAATTCCCTTGATTTTGTCATTGCCTTCTTCTGGGATGTTATTTCAATTTCCAAGGTTTGCTTTCAGTTTGTATTTTTGATGGTCCTCTATCCAATTTATAATTGGGCATGACCTCACTGATCTACTAAGTGCAAATAAGATCATGTAGGTGATTCCACCTGCTTGATAATGTTGCTGTAGACTTTCTTGAGTTGAATTCTGATTTTTATTACACTTCCAATCTATTTTTGTCTGTACTTCTATAAAATAATTGTCTTCTATTGCTTTCTGTTGTTCTTTTGAGTTCCTTGTGGTAAATAATTTATGGAATAATGTTCAGTCTATTCTGTTTTAGGTAACGTGCCACAGAAAAAAGCTACAATTAAAGGAAAGCAACAGCAAGAGATAATAAAGGAAAGGACAAAAGTAAGTTTGTTTTTTCACAGTATAATTGTATTTTTTTTTCCATTTATGTTGTAGTACCATAAGTATAGGGACATGATGGCTCAGTGGCTAAGATGCTGAGCTTGTTGATTAGAAAGGTTGGCAGTTTGGCGGTTCAAATCCCTAGCGCCACGTAGCAAAGTGAGCTCCCGTTACTTGTACCAGCTTCTGCCAACCTAACAGTTCGAAAGCATGTAAAAAAAATGCAAGTAGAAAAAATAGGGACCACTTTGGTAGGAAGGTAACAGCGTTCCATGCGCCTTCGGCGTTTAGTCATGCCGGCCACATGATCAGGGAGACGTCTTCAGACAGTGCTGGCTCTGAAACGGAGATGTTGAGAACGATTAGCACATATGTGCAAGGGGAACCTTTACCTTTTACCATAAGTAAGCTGCTATTATCCCTAACGGCAGCTCAGAAATCAAAACTAACTTGCCTAAACTGAAATAATGAAGTTTTGCTGATTCATCTGAATTCAAGTTTATATTCAGGCAAATCATGATGATGGAACTATTCCTCAATTGCTTTTGATTTTTAAGTTAGTTTTAAAATGCATCGGATTCTCAAATATGAGCTAGGGGCAAATGAAATTGGAATGTTACCTACTAATTTTTTCCAGGGGGGAAAAACTGTACATGTGTTTGTTTAAATGATAAAGAAACCACTGTGTGTTTTAACAGGTAGGGCACAAGAGAAATCAAGATATTCTAATTGAAGAAGAGAAAGAAGAGTTGAAGCTCCAACTTGCTGAAAGCAGTGAACAGAAGGACCTTCTTGACAAAGAAAACATGATAGCACCTGCAAAAAGAAATCGCTCATTTGCCCCTCAGAATTTTGTCTTTAAACCTCCCAAAGGCTTGTCTATCTATAAAGTGAATCCAATGACCCCTTCCAGGGCAAATGTCTTCTTATCACCCAATCTTTCCTGGAGCCCCTCAGAAACAACCAAGTAAGGATATCCTCCTTCAGACTTTCTTATAAAGTATTTTAAGAATCTGTTCAAACTGTGTTGATTCCCCACCCACCCCTTTCTTAATGCTGCTTCAGGTTCAAGCTCATAGAGGAAACACTAAGGAAGATAATTATTCTGATTTCCTCACCCTTTAATTTCCAGGCCTCCTTATTCCTGTTGCAATTAGTTTCCTCTTAAAATGTCTCAACTTTACAAGGCTGGTATGCATTGGTTGCTTCTGACTATCTATAGTGGTTTTCTATTTAGAGATCTCTGAAATATGAGGCCTAGGATGTCTTTCAAATGGAGATACCAAATCAAACAGTATTGGTCTCTCTGATGGTGTAGTTATTTAACGTAATTTTGGTAGTATACCTGTAGTAAAGCTATGCAGAGACTCTGCTACAAGGAGCAAACTTTGAATTCAGGTAGGGATGCAAAAATAGGACCACAACATTGATTTCATTATGTGTCATTAAGTTGTTTTTAACACCAACCACCACACAAATAGGCTTTTTTCTCTAACCTGTTCTTTCGATTTTCCCTAGTCACCCCATCCATCTTCTGGGTTTTCTCTTCCCTTTCTTTCTACCTTTCCCAATGTTAGAGCATTTCATGTGCATATCATGTTAATTGTTATAGTGTGTAGGTAATCCACAAATTCACGGTGTAAGACTGATGCAAATCTAATAATTCAAGTCCTAACAAAGACCCAAGAATTATTAAGTCAGCGTCTAAGACTATAGGCAGTTCCAAGCAGGTTAGTTTTTGGAGGGTTTTTTGGGGTGGTGGTATAAATTAGGGTGTTCCAAGTCTGACAAATATTTCAATATTTCCAGACATTGAGGAAGTTCTTTAGGTATTGCTCTGAGGGCTGCAGTCAGGCTTGATATAACAACTGATCTCTTTTTTCATACATATTCAGTTTTGATCTGCAACTTCCAGTGTTTCATAATTTTATTATTATTATTATTATTAGTGACGTCTACAAAGAAGAAATACAAGATCATAATCCGCAGTTGTCCTCTAACCCAGAAGTCACAAAGAAAACCACTGAAGGACATCAATATGCCCTGGATTTATTGGAAGAAATTAAAAGAGGTATATCTAAGAAAATGTCTATACCGCTGGTGCTAAGAGACAAAAATTTTAAAGGGGACTGAAAAGTCCCAATACAGATGCGCATTTGCCTTTAGGCAAGATGCCTTTTCTACCTCAGTCTTTGATTTGTAGTGCTGACATACAGTAGCTATCGGGCAGTGATGTTCTAGACTTCAGTGAAGTGAAGGATGTTCTTTGAAATGGTGCAGCTGAACAGTGATCTGTTGGCACCTCTTTAATGAAGTTACCTTGTTCCCTGGATTCTTCCAGGAAAAAGTTCTTGATTTGAGTACTAATAAGCATACATATCCTCAGTCTAAAGCACCTTGTTGTCACATCTTTAACTCAGACTCCGCAGCAATGCATCAGGGATGGGGATTTTGCTTGTACTCAAGTCCATTGATCTTTTGAGGAATCTCTGGGGATGGGATGAAGATGATGCAGTATGACTGAGGGTGCATCAGCCATATGGGCATTATTTAAAATACCATTGGTGGAGGGCAGCCTTTCTGTGTTAAGCCTATTTAGACTTAACCATTACTCTGTATTTATTTTAAACTTTCAGAATATTAAAACTTGGCAATTAGATAGTCAGGTTTCAGGACCAGCAAACAAAACAAAACAAAAGACCATAAGCAGACTTGCAGTAACAGGCTACTCTTCATCCCTTCCCCTTGCATTGCTGTAAAAAATGCAGTTTGGGGGCAACTGTATGCCATTGCAACTTTAAATATACAAAATACTAATGCTTTGGCTAATAGGATGGTTTAAATTTAATTGATAAGCGCTTAAAGAGCACCTATGGCTTATTTAGCTGCAGGTTATATTCTTCCTCTATTTAATGCAGATTCTACCATTTTTCTGTATAAAATGATTCTTTTTCTAGAACGGGTGCCTAGTGAGATGAGGTATAATACTGCATTTGAAGATGAGAGCAGTGTGCAACAACCAGATCTACTAGCAACTGAAATATCAGAGCCAACAACAAAACTCCTGCATGATGTGCCCTATTTCAGGTTTGTAGACAAGATCAAAGGGATCTACAGTAATAAACTGCCTGGGTAACAAGGATGCTTGTTAAAATATCTTCTTCAAAGAGATTCACCTTCATATTAAAGTAAACAACAGATTAACTATTCATGGATACTGTGGGATAGAAATGGTAACCAATCCATTTTACCTGCCTTAGGGATACATTTACCTGCTGCTGTAATTGCTTTGAGTTTAAAATGAGATTGTAGCTACTTGTGCTATTGTGCGCCAAAGACTATATACCTTTCCAAGCAAGCCTATTTCTTAAAATTATACACTAGTCCCGCAGTAGCATCTAAGCTGACGGTCTAAATAGAGTGTGAACAGAGTGGTAGGAATGGCGTTTTTCTTACTACCGTATATACTCGAGTATAGGCCGACCCGAATATAAGCCGAG